GGTTGCTTAACCATTTAACTGAGCCACATCCCCATCCCTTTTTATATTTTATTTTTAGAGACAGGGTCTCACTGAGTTGCTCAGGACCTCACTAAGTTGCTGAGGCTGGCTCTGAAATCAAGATCCTCCTGTCTCAACCTCCTGAGCCACTAGGATTACAGGCATGTTCCACTGCGCCCCACTACTTGCCCACTTCTTTTTTAAAATTCTTTAACATATACTTTTAGTTGTTGATGGACCTTTATTTTAGTCATTTATTTATATGTGGTGCTGAGAATTGAACCCAATGCCTCAACATGCTAGGAAAGTGTTCTATCACTGAGCCACAACCCCAGACCCTACTTACCCACTTCTAAGACTAAAATACAAACTGTATCCAGCATCTTTTATATATTTTTTTTCAGTTGTAAATGGACACAATACCTTAATTTTATTTTATTTATCTTTATGTGGTGCTAAGGATGGAACCCAGTGCCTCATATGTGATAGACAAGCACTCTACCACTAAGCTACAACCCCAGCCCTATCCAGCATCTTTTACTTTCTTTTTTGACTTTCCTACCCATTCCTGAAAAGAATTCCCTGAAACTCCTAAGAAGCAGACTTCTCTTATGCAGTCACCTCCATGCTTTAAGGACCACAGATCTATGTAATGAAAGAGGCAGAGAAAGGGAGGATGTGATACTGTTTGTTGTTTGTGTTCAGAGAAGTGTTCAAACAAGAAAAGGCGTATCCCTTCCGGTAATGGCTATTTTTCTTAAATACCTTTCCAGTTGTCATCTTTGGACTGTTCTTAGATACTGAAAGACTTCAGCTCCTTCTGCCCTGCCACAGAGTATGGCATTAACATCCTTCTTTCCTTTGCCCTTATGACTGAACTGCACAGATTAAAGCATATCCTTGTCTACTAACCATGCAATTCAATCCTGTATTCTATGCTCTTTCTTCTTCACAATTACAGAGCAGAGAGTTTCCTCTTTTCTTAGAAGGCACCTTTTGGATATATCTCTATCATAGTCTCATGCAGTTTTGTTGATATTTTTAAGTGATTTCCCTACCAAAATCAGAGCTCCCTGAAAGCTGGCACAGTATCCTGCTCACCTCTGCATCCCTTGCACAGAGTAAGCACAAAATATATGTCAGCTGAACTGTATGCAGGCTTGTTGGATTTGAAAGAGATTTCAGAAATAGAATCAACAGGACTACTCGGAATTGTGGTATAAAACTGGTAGTGTTGCCTTAGAGTAAAAAATAGTTAATAGCTTGTGCAATAACAGCACAGATATTTAAATCATTCAGATGACATAATTACATGGCAGCCTGAGATAATGGCACTTATTAGATGTGCAACATTAGAAAAAAACTTTTGATTCCAGATTTTACCTTCTGTTAAACCAGAAAGTTTTCTCAAGCCTTTCTACCTAATCACTATTCTAACACCTATTTATTCTAATCACAAAATTTAATGAAGCTCAAATGAAAATGCATACAAAAATCATTATATTTAAACAATGCATATGTATAGAGACATTATGAATAAAGTTCAGATAACAGAGCTTATTATCAAATAATATATGTAGATCATGAAAATTTTCAGTCATAGGAATACGTGTAAAAACCTACTATTTATTCAACTCATCCATCAAAAAATTTGTGATTATGTATAAATTTAATTACTAAATGATTCTCCAGTTTCAAGCTGTTCTTTTTAATGCAAAAGCAGGGGTTTTGTTTTGTTTTTAATATTTATTTTTTAGTTATAGTTGAACACAATTCCTTTATTTCACTTATTTACTTTTTTGTGGTGCTGAGGATCGAACCCAGGGTCCAGTACTTGCAAGGCGAGTGCTCTAGCGCTCTACCACTGAGCCACAATACCCACCACCTCATCTCCCCCCCCCCCCAGCAGGTTTTAACCACAAATTCCATGCTGATCTCCCTGAAGCACAGATATCACAAGGTTCTGCAACACGCTCTGCGGCAAAAAGCCCAAAGGAGGCACCAACCTGCTTTTTAGGACAGAGTTGGCTGATCTATGACCAAAGCTGCAGTTGAAAGCACAGGTAAGCACAAAGAAAATTCTTTAACTGTATATGGCTCAGACTATCCCTATGATTAGGACCAACTATAGTCTTTCAAACCTAAAAAAAAAAAAAGGATAAAATAGAGAAATGAATGTACCTATGCCACAAACACAGTTACAATCATCTTAAAAAAAAAAAAAAAGTACTTTCATCAAACCAGTAATTATGGAGAAAATGTAAATAAAGGTTAGTTCAAAATATGCTATAGATGTCACAAATAACATCACAGATGTGGGGGTGGGTTTTTTTGTTTTGTTTTGTTTAACTTCACTTGAATTCCTAATGTCTACCTACCTACAAGTCAACCGTCTTGAAGCAAGAAAGGCAAACAGATAACCAATATGCTGACACTGCAAGACCAAGGTTTTTCAAATGTAATTTATCCAGTTAAAAAAAAAAATACAGGATAATACAATATAAATTCATAAAAAACAAATACAGGGCTGGGGTTGTGGCTCAGTGATAAGAGCACTTGACTAGCATGTGAGGCACTGGCAGTGTTCACTTCTCAGTACCGCATATAAATAAATGGATAAACTAAAGTTCCATCAATAACTAAAAAAAAAAAATTTTAAAAATACAAGGTAAGTCATGTGCCAACCAAAATAATACTACATAGGAAAACAAACCATGCACTTGTCCTCAAAAATGTTTAAGCCTTGGCTCTCACAGTTTGTAAGAGTTTCACATCTTTCTGAAGGAGAGAAAGGTGAGCTAATCAGTTGTGGGTCCTAGAAACAGTTTCTCGGAATACTTCTAGAGATGTCTAGAAATACCCAGAGATGTAAACAATAATCAGCTGGAAGAGATACACATCAAGAATAAGGAACTCCCAGGATTTCCCTTTCCATGTGAAAGCAATCAACTCCTATTTTTAATCTCCCTCTGATGCAAATATCTAGTGAAACCTCTCTCTTTCTACCTCATCAAAGCAAGCTGATTTACTACTATGAAGTAACTATTTTAAAAGATTTGAATGGGATGGCACTATGGTGCAGGCCTGTAATCCCAGCAGTTCCAGAGGCTGAGGCAAGAGAATTGCAAGTTCAAAGCCAGCCTCAGCAATTAAACACTAAACAATTTAGTGAGACCCTGTCTCTAAATAATATAAAAAAGGGTTGGGGATATGACTCAGTGGTTAAGTGCCCCTGGGTTCAATCCCCAGTTCCAACAAATATAAAAGTATCTTAAAAGGAAGAATTGATGATAATGCAAAAGCCCCTCAATTTCAGAGGAGAAAAAAAAAAAAACTTAGAAAAATTTACATTTTCACAAATTAAGGCTAAGTCATTCAAATCTACCACAACTGGTCCACCTGATGAATATTTCTTTTTTTTTTTTTTTAGAGAGAGAGAGAATTTTTTAATATTTATTTTTTTAGTTTTCGGTGGACACTACATCTTTATGTTGGAAGCCAAGCATAGTGGTGCACGGCTGTAATCTCAGCAACTGAAGGCTAAAACAGGAGGATCTAAGTTCAAAGCCAGCCTCAGCAACTTAGAAAGGCCCTAGGCAATTCAGGAGACCCCGTTTCAAAAATAAAAATAAAAAGGGCTGGGGATGTGGCTCCAAGCACTCCAGGATTAAATTCCCACTACCCCTCCCCAAAGAAAGTTGATAATCATATGTAGTTGGTAATTAAGTGTAGAAAACCACATCTCCCTCCCTATACACTGGAAAAGCCTAGAAAGGTTATTAAAAATAATTAACTTCAATGTCTGCACAGATTTATAACACTCAAATCTACTTCTGTTTTTTCATTCTAAAGTATTCTGAAAGGGGGAAGGGGTTTATGCCTTGATAAATGTATGAAAAGTCACAACTCTCCTGGGAATCTGTCACGTTCTTCTTTTCCAATCAACAGTTTTTAATTCACTTGAAAAATGCTAGTGAAGAGGGCCTTTGGCAAGGAACTCAAGAATTTGCAACTCTGGAGACACCACCAAAGTACTGATACCAAGCTTGGAGAAAATGCTGCTTTTGTCTGAGAGGCGGCCTGTGATAAAAACAGGAACTTTACAGAGAACTGATCACAACTGCACATAAGCCTGATCACATGCCCACAACAGAGCACTGTTTCTCATTGTTTTCAAGGGACTTTTCTAGTAACAGTGGCTTGATTGATCCCATTTCTTTAAATTTTCAAAATAAATCCAACCCTCCTTGTACCAATCCATTGTCAAAAGAAAGGTCGCGAGCCAGGATTTCCATTTAATCGGTAGCCACCTCTTTCTCCCTCTTCGAAGATTCTAAAAAGCTAATCAAATGCGGAAAATTCAGCCAAAAGACAGCCACCAGGAAAAAGCCCTGATGACAAAGGTGTCTAAAGGCAGCACCGTGGGTCCCTCTGGGTTAGTACCACTGCTTCCAACCTCCCTAGGACCTTCAATGTCTCCCTCGCTCCTATCTCACTTGAGTCACTGGGGAAGCACCTCGCATTTTTTGAGAAAGAAGAAATGCTGCTGCGGCTTTCCCACGTCTCTGTCTGTCTGTCTCTTTCTCTCTGGGGAAGGAGGAATGGATCAAGGCGTGGGGCCCTCCAGGAAGAAGGCAGAAAGGAGAAAGGTGTCAGCCACCCTCCTCGCAATCACCCGTCCCCCCCACACATACACCAGCCCAGAAACCCGGGCACAGACTGGAGCTTTGTGTAGGGTTGGGGGGGCAGAGAACGCAGAAACGGCACCGGTCCAGGCGGACCTCTCCCCCAAGCCCCGCTTGGCCCCCTCCAAGGGAAAACAATGAAAGCCACGGGAAACACTTCGCAGTGTAGAAAGGAAGGAGTACGGTATGGAGCTTGGCCAGATTCCCCGCGCCCTCGCCCCTCGCCACGCCGCTGCCAGGGCGCGCGATGGTGACCTGCCTCCGGACCCCCACCGAACCCGCAGGCCCGGCGCCCGCTCCTCTCCAGGATCCTACCCTCTGAGAGCTCCAGCTCCAGTTCCGCCAGCTGCGCCCGCACTTCGGGAGGCAACGCAGCCACTGCCGCCGGCGAGGGCTCCCGGCCTCGCTCCGCCATCCCGGCTCCGCCAACCACACTCCGGAAGACGAGAGAGGGGGCCAAAGGAGGGACGGACTGACGCGGGCCCACACCCGGGTTACAGAATCCGGCTCCGGCCGCTGAGAGCCACCAGCACCGCCACCGCCGCCGCCGCCATGAGCGAGGGTCACGTGAGCGCGCGGCCCCGCCCCCCGGGCTGGAGGACGTACTGCCTCCGAGGTGCTGTGGAGTCCAAGACGCGTAGGCTTACGGCGCCCTCTACAGGGAGTTGCTGGAGCGGTCTCCTAGGTCCCCCTCCGGAATTCTACGCGAAATGGGCTCACGTTCCGGATGTCGGCTTTACAGCCGCGTAGAATCTCCGCATTTATCTTTTATGAATTCGAGAGCAAGCTTTCTGGAGTCCGGATGTTACTTTCTGCAGTCCTCCTCACTTTAGTATACCTTTGTCCTTTCCTGTCCTTCATTTCCTCTACTGAACACCTATCCATTTATAAAGACCTGCTCCACATCCTTCACTGTAACTTCCCTGATTCTGCTAGGAGTGTTTTTGTCTCTGTATGGATTTGGGCTTTTAAAACACTCGAGAGGAAACCCGCTTCCTCTGGCCTAGATTTCTAACGATTTACAAGATACTTTAGCCTTTTCTTTACCATTTTATCCCCCTCAGTACATGACCTAGTAGGTGTTTGGCTCATGCCTGTAATCCAAGCGGCTCTGGAGGCTCTAGGAGGATCGCAAATTCAAGACCAGCCTCAGCAACTTAGCAAGACCTTAAGCAACTCAGCGAAACCCTGTCTTTAAATAAAATATTTAAAAGGACTGGAGATGTGACTCAGTGGTTAAAAGCCCCTAGGTTCAATCACAGTTCAAATAATAATAATAATTTAATGGAAGAGTATTAACATTGGTGCATTTTTACCCGGAACCACTGGGACAGGTGCTTTTTTTAAAATTGATTGTATTTTTTAAATACATGACTGGAATGCATTACAATTCTTATTACACATATAGAGCACAATTTTTCATATATCTGTTTGTATATAAAGTATGTTCACACCAATTAACATGTCTTCATACACGTACTTTGGGTAATGTCCATCACATTCCACCATCATTGCTAACCTCCTTCCCCCTCCCTTCCCCTACCACCCCTCTGTCCTATCTAGAGTTTGTCTATTTTTTCCATGCCCCCCTCTCTACCCTACTATGGGCCAGTCACCTTATATCAGAGAAACAATTCAGCATTTATTTTTTGGGGATTGGCTAACTTCACTTAACATTATTTTCTCTAGCGCCATCCATTCACCTGCAAAGGGACAGATGCTTTAATTGCCATTTATAGTATTTTGTTTATAATATTGAAAAATTTGTCATGGATATGATTGTTTTATTGACCTATTTTTTTCTCCCACAATTTGAGGGAATTTGTGTTTCCACTTCCTTTTCTTGTTGATTCAGAATTGGTCCTTTCAGACACCAGGCCCCAACATGTATTCACTAGAAGTTCTAGATGGTATTTATATTATTTATGGGCTACAACAAAAACTAAAAGGAAAAAAAAAAAAAAAACAAGGATTTCTGCTTAAAAGAAGGGGAATATGACATCATGGCTGATTGAGGGGTGGACCTTGAAGGGGGTTGAACCTAGCCGGGGCTTAACCACTGACCCACATCCCCAAGCCATATGTGTGTGTGTGTGTGTGTGTGTGTGTGTGACTGAGTTACTTAGGGCCTCTCTAAGTTGCTGAGGCTGGCTTTGAATTCTTGAGCCTCCTTCCTGCCTCAGCCTCCCATACTGCTGGAATTACAGGCCTGAGCCACCACATGAAGTCTTTTAACTTAAAACAATGTAAGTAGAATCTGTGGGGCAATGTGTATATGTCCTGTGATTTACATTAGAACTGTTGAGTGTTTTTTAAAAAGCAATTAACCCATTGACATTCCTTCCTTGAAAGAGTGAAGTCCATGTCTTTTCCCCTGAATCTGGATAATTACATGAAGGTTTGACCAATAGAATATGGTAGAAATGATACTCTGTGACTTACAAGATTAGGTCCTAGAAGACTGTGCAGCTTCCACTGGTTCTCTGGAAATGCTCACTCTTCAAGAAACCTCTCCCAGATTGATCTTCCCCACTCCAACCCCCACCTCTTTCTCTTCCTCTCCCACTTCCCATCCCATCCCAGCAACCTTGCTGGGAGAAGCCTAAGCCATATGAATACCATGTGAGGTGCTCTGCCCAACAGCCCCAGCTAAGCCCAGATTTCTAGTTCATCCTAGCCCAGGGTGAAGAAACTTCCAGGTGGTTCCAGGTCTGGACATTTGTCTTCCCAGTTGAGTCTAGACTATGTGGAACAGAGACAGACCATCCTTGTTGTGCCCTGTCCAAATTCTTGTGAACATAATAAAATGGTCTTCCTTTTATACCACTAAGCTTGGAGTGGTTTGTTACACAGCAATAGATTACCAGCAGGGCTCAGCAAATATTCTTGTTTACCATCCCAGCAGCCCTGCTCTCCCCTTTTTCCTTGTCAGTAAACCATACCAACCCCTACTGAGGCTAAACATAGCAAAATATTCACTTTCCCACCCTCCTTGGCAGGTGTATGAGAGAACTACAGATGGGAGCATTTGGGGAGAATTTTCTTCCCTGGTGGGAAATGCACAGGAAAAACTTCCTTTCCCTTCCCTTCTGTCTTTGGATATTGTTCAGTTAAATGTACCAGTAATAAGGGGGAAACCAAACCACAGAAACATCACGAAGAACTTCACAGAATTGGTCTGCCAAAATAATGAATCCTAAAACCACCTACATTGGACTTCTTGTTATATAAGAAAACAAGTTTAAACCTCTTTTATTTGGGGCTGGGGATGTGGCTCAAGCGGTAGCGCGCTCACCTGGCATGCATGCGGCCCGGGTTCGATCCTCAGCACCACATAACAAACAAAGATGTTGTGTCCGCCAAAAAATAAATAATAAATAGTTCTCTCTCTCTCTCTTTAAAAAAAAAAAAAAAAACCTCTTTTATTTGAACAGTCTCCTGCTTACTGACTAAAACCTCCCATCTGATACTGAATTTGTTACCAAAAATGGAATATCACAAGTGAACAAAAAGTTGCAAAGTGTCTTATAAATTGTTAGCATGCAGGTCACATGTAGACTGAAAATTCAGGATTTGGGGCCTGAATTGACTACTTAATGAGGTTTTCATTAAATTCATACAAAAAGTAAACAGTCTGGAGATGTCCCAACTGATGACAAGGGGAAAGCTTTTCAGGCTAAAACCTAGGTTGACAGCTGTAGCTTTGTTGGTTTGGGGAAGTCCTCTCCCCCCTCCCCTCTCCCCTGCATTAAGTATTTATTGGTTCATTGCATTTTAAGGTTTAGAGAAGTTCTGGCATCAGTCTTAATTTGATTCAGGCTCAGATGACATCAGAATGTATTTTTTTTTTAATATTTATTTTTTTACTTGTATTTGGACACAATATCTTTCTTTCTTTCTTTATTTTTATTTGGTGCTGAGGATCGAACCCAGGGCCATAAACGTGCTAGGCGAGTGATCTACCACTGAGCCACAACCCCAGCCCCCAGAATGTGTTTTCTTCCCATCTTTCTTCCATTATGTGTGTTTAATTCCTTTTAAGATCCACATGATAGTTTCCAGAAGTACTTGGATCATGCTCCTTTTTTAACTTTTTTTTTTTTTAGTTGTTAATGGACATAGTTCCTTTCTATTTTAATTATTTATTTGTTTTAATGCGGTGCTGAAGATTGAACCCAATGTCTCACACCTTCCAGGCAAGTACCCTTACTACTGAGCTACAATGCCAGCCCTGGATCATACTCTTCTATAGGTTCCAGTCCATCCTAAGAGAATTCACCTTTGCCTTGGAGTTCCAGCCAGAGCACAGAAGTTAGTGCTTAGTGGCTCAGATTGGAGGAAGTCAAGTTCTTCTACTTCCAAGGTCAAGTTAGGATAAACAAAAGCAAGAATATGAGAGATTTAACAGCTGATAAAATTGAAAAGATTGGGGCTTCAAATCTCTGAAGAACCTCAGGACCTCTTATTAAACATTCTTTGTTAGGTGAAGGGGGTGAACTTAGTAATGAAGGGAAACCTGACAGGAAAGATTAGAGTAAGGGTGAAATTCTCTCCCTGATGTTATTAACTCGAATTGTCTCAAGGAACAGACCTGTAAATGGAAGAAGGATGATTCACTGAGGACCACAGCTATGAGGTACAAATTCTTCTGCTCATCCAATAGAAAAACAAGGTGTACCACATATATAACATTAAATTTTCCCACTAGTTACATGCTGTATAAAAAGACAGCATAATTCAATTTCTAATAGCCACATTTCAAGTGTTCCAATAATTTCATGAGGTTAGTGGCTAGAGTGATTGCCTGGCATGAATAAGGCCCTGAGTTCAATCTCCAGCACCAAAAGGAAAAAAAAAAAAACTGGGTATGATGGTGCACTTCTGTAATCTTCGGTAATCTCAACAGCTCAGGAGGTTGAGGCAGGAGGATCCCAAGTTCGAGGCCATCATGTGCAATTTCGAGAAAAATAAATACTAAAAGGCCTAGGGATGTAACTTACTGGTAAAGTACCCCTGGAATCAATCCCCAGTACCAGAGGGGCGCGGGGGGGGGGGGGGGGGGGATCTTTATCTACTTTATTTGCACAAGGGATTGACTAGATTTGATAGTCCAGAATCCCACTGAAGATTTTGCAGCCCCAAATACTCCGTACCTAGCTTTAACTGACTGTAATCTAAAGCAACCCCTAAGCTCCAAGCTCTCACCTAGCATGTGTGAGGCCCTGGGTTCAATTCTCAGCACCATATATAAAATAAGTAAAATAAAATAAAATAAAATAAAGGTCTATCAACAACTAAAATAAATAAATAAATAAAGAGAATAGCAGTGGCAAGGCTGGTAAGCAGAAGCTTAAAATGCAGGACAGCCACAGAATTCTGACTGTGGTGGCAAAAGCAGTAGTCTAGATGATTAGTGATCTACATCTTAGTGATACCCAAAGGTGTCTTAGTTGTGTGAAGAACAGGGAAAGAATTTTGGGGGGGAGACAGGGGGCAGGGATACCAGGGAATGAACCCAGGGGCACTAGGCCA